GTGCAAACGCCATGCAACAACACTGTATGTGACAGTTTTCTGGAGGAAACAAAAAGAAAGAATAGAATAGGAAATATGACAAGACAGCTCACAGAGTCTAGCTTGTCTGCTGTATTCAATTCATGGCTTAAGACCACTGATTCGTTGCTACACCCGAAATGTTGCTGTAACAGTGTTTAAAACGAGTTCAGACCATCCCAGAAGTGAAAACTAGTAGATTTAAAATACATATATCATGGAATTTTGAAATTTTCACCGTCGCCCATCTGCTAAATTGAAGTGAGGTTTTATTAAAAAGCAAATGACGAAAGGAAATGAACAAACAAACAAACGTTGTCAGAGAACAAATTCAAATAAACCCAAGTGTATACTTTTCCTGATTTGATTTAATAAAACCTGAGATTCTATCATCGTAATGAATTCTGGCACAAAAACTCAAGATTGAATTACTGAAGGCGTTGCATTACTTGTAGCATTGCAAAATGCGCACATGAATTTACTATACTTAAGTTACTAACATTGAGAGGCTGAAAATTTTTTGGGCCAACAGTTTTCAAAATAGGTATGAGCTATTTTTAATTTGATAGAAACAGGTGTTTCCTCTTGTTAGATGTGTTCAGTGATCGAAGGGTTTTGCGCCCATTGTTAAGTTAGTTCAGATCCTAAAAGGCATTAGATCTTTAAGGCATTAGAATTCACTGAAAGTTTTTCTGTTAAGTTTCTTGTCCTCAATTTCACGTTTGCATCAAACGACAAGACCTACTGCCACATATATCTCTATGTATTAAATTGCTGTACCATTGAAAGTTTCGTTTTCATTGGACAGTTAAAACATATCATATTAATTCTGGTTTATTTTTCCTTTATACTGAGAAAAAAAGCTACGTGTTACCAGCACTGTTTTTTCCTTTACGTTGAAAAATAACGCGCATTTGCCACTTTTTAGTTTATTGCAATTGCCTGTAATCTAATTTAACTTTTTGTTGGTTTGGACGCCTTGTAAATGTGCGCGAAAGAAAAAATCATAGCTGACAAGTTTTTCAAGATCAACCCTCTCTTGAAGTTTGAACTCATGTGTGAATGTTTGAACCTGGAAAGTTTGAACTTATCTGAATTTCATNTTCTGTAAACCTTCCATTATTGTAGAGATTCTTCATCATGGCCATGCACTGTGCAAACGCCATGCAACAACACTGTATGTGACAGTTTTCTGGAGGAAACAAAAAGAAAGAATAGAATAGGAAATATGACAAGACAGCTCACAGAGTCTAGCTTGTCTGCTGTATTCAATTCATGGCTTAAGACCACTGATTCGTTGATACACCCGAAATGTTGCTGTAACAGTTCTTAAAACGAGTTCAGACCATCCCAGAAGTGAAAACTAGTAGATTTAAAATACACATATCATGGAATTTTGAAATTTTCACCGTCGCCCATCTGCTAAATTGAGATGAGGTTTTATTAAAAAGCAAATGACGAAAGGAAATGAGCAAACAAACAAACGTTGTCAGAGAACAAATTCAAATAAACCCAAAGTGTATACTTTTCCTGATTTGATTTAATAAAACCTGAGATGCTATCATCGTAATGAATTCTGGCACAAAAACTCAAGATTGAATTACTGAAGACGTTACATTACTTGTAACATTGCAAAATGCGCACATGAATTTACTATACTTAAGTTACTAACCTTGAGAGGCTGAAAATTTTTTGGGCCAACAGTTTTCAAAATAATCAGGTATGAGCTATTTTTAATTTGATAGAAACAGGTGTTTCCTCTTTTGTTAGATGTGTTCAGTGATCGAAGGGTTTTGCGCCCATTCTTAAGTTAGTTCAGATCTTAAAAGGCATTAGATCTTAAAGGCATTAGAATTCACTGAAAGTTTTTCTGTTAAGTTTCTTGTCCTTAATTTCACGTTTGCATCGAACGACAAGACCTACCGGCTGCCACATATATCTCTATGTATTAAATTGTTGTACCATTGAAAGTTTCGTTTTCATTGGGCAGTTAAAACATATCATATTAATTCTGGTTTATTTTTCCTTTAATACTGAGAAAAAAGCTACGTTTTACCAGCACTGTTTTTTTCCTTTACGTTGAAAAATAACGCGCATTTGCCACTTTTTAGTTTATTGCAATTGCCTGTAATCTAATTTAACTTTTTGTTGGTTTGGACGCCTTGTAAATGCGTACGAAAGAAAAAAACCATAGCTGACAAGTTTTTCAAGATCACCCCTTGAAGTTTGAACTCATGTGTGAATGTTTGAACCTGGAAAGTTTGAACTTATCTGAATTTCATCTNTGTTCATGTTTCATTTCCTGGAAATGTTCTTCTGAATTAATAATAGTTTACCTTTAAAGAGCTTTCGAATTTTTCAGGCCAATATACAATTTTATTTCAATGTACACCCATCAGCTTGTCGATAACACGTTATAATTGAACATTTTTTTCTATGAAACTTGAAATGTTAAGTTTTTGTGCTTGTTTATTTAAGGTCGAACGAAGAGGCAACCATAATGTAGCTAAAACTGAAATGTAAGCTATGGACGCTCCTCAAGAAATTATTTATGTGATGCGATCGTGTTTCTCAGTTGTTCTTTAGGATAAGTGAAATAGATTTGAATCAAGATTTTTCGAGACAACTAGAGGATGGGAAATTGGGTTTTCTCCTACATTTTGCCAGTTTTCGGGAAGTTCAATGAAATTGAGAATACCAAAAGTTGGTATTTCACTGTGGTTATATTCATTAATTTATATATTTTTTCTTTTTAACAGGTATTCTTGCAGTTTATGGGAAAAACAAGATAAAAAATAAATAAGCGGGTAGGTTGTCCTAAAAGGCTAAACATGCCGATTCAAAATTCAGAAAACTGTGAACTTTAGCCGAAGTGTACGCTTTATAACTGAGTTTCCAATGTTTGGAGTTCTCGATACCTGATGTAAATTTTATCAACTTATCTAGCCTCTTTTATTACTGATAGTTGTAAGCAAAGATCGTCTTACATGTAAAATAACAAAAGTTGATCGTTACCTTACTGCATTGCATCAAGTTTAAAATAATCTTTACTTGTGAACATTTGGGTAGGAACGTCCTTAACCCTCCAGGTTTCGTAAAACGTGTTAACAGGCATTACCAGTTACTATTTTCGTGAAATCAGCTCCCAAACAAAATGCATTCCAAACTGAAAACTGCTTTGTATTTCTACGGGTTAGAAACTGTATTCATGCTAGCAAATTGCCACTTAAAAATTGCCATTAACGATGATAATTTTTTTTAAGAAAACCAATTTTTGTCATATTTAAGAAGAAACCTTATATCGATTGCAGATTGGAAAAAAAAGCAAACTTCGATTTATCCTCCTAGAGATCAAAGAGATTTAAGCTAACACAGCATGGAAGGCAACAGCACTTCACTTCCCCCGTCGACAGTCAGTCCCAATCCTCCGCCTTCGAAAAGCCTGGACCACGCCTTTCAAGTGTCATTCTGGGTGATTGCTGTTGCTTCCTTTACATTCAACTTGTCATTCTGTATCGTGCTTCTGAGGAAACCCTCCCTGTTAAAGAAACCCCACAATATCCTACTGTTCAGTTTAGCAGTGGTAGATATGCTGACTGGTGAGTAGACAACTTGTGAGTCATTTAGTCTCTGTGTCTTGATAGGTTGTCGTCACTTTAAATGGTTATCTTGAAAGTGTGATAAAGGGGAACTGTAAACTGGTGTTCATAATAGCCTTGCCTTCCGCCCAGGCGTCCCTAAGTTGGAGCGAGGTGCGCTTGGTGTTGTGGGTCATTTACAGAAGCAAAGTTGCCACATTCACCGCCTAACCATGAAGCCCCGCGCTCCCCGTTTTCCGCCTTTACTGACGAGCTGCAAGTGCGCAGGGGCTAAATCAATATAGTAACCTTTATATCAGTGATTACTCAAGTTATATGGACATTCAGTCCCGGAACGAAAGCACAATTTTACCAATCCCGCAGTGCATGTTTGCTATCCAGGCCTCAAATGGATTCGAAACCTTGAACACCGTGCACAGTGCGAGTGTAGAGTGTACACCCTACATTATGAACTCTATCTACACTTGCCTTCGAGTCGCCTACCTTTGTATTTGTATTATGTTATGTGCAGTGAAGAACATACATCAGCAGGCTTTCTTTTAGGCTACAACGAAACAAGCGTCAATTAACGTTTCTATATTCGTCAGTGCTGATGCATTCTTTTTCTTTCAGGAGTCTTCCTCGTAGCTACTCCTGGATACGCCATTGCAAAGTCCGCATACCCAGTCCCTCTCGGATTAGGCGGCGAGATTTTTTGTCGCCTGTTCGCAAACAGATATCTTCTGTTTGCAATGGGAAAAGTTTCCATCCTTCTTGTGGCCTGCCTTGCTATCGAGCGATGGTACTGTGTGCTTCGGCCAATCAGATACAAGGATCAGTTTAGCAGAAAACGTATCATCCTTTACGTTTTCGTCATGTTTATTATCACGTGTATTCTTTCCATGAATAAGTTGATCGAGACAAAACTCGCTGGCAAAAAGTGCATTTCGGAGAAAGCTCCGTACGGCAAGTACGGTACACGGGCTTTTATTATCGCATACAGTTTCATCGCGTTTTACATTCCTTGTCTGTTGACATGGATAACGTTTGGCCATATCGCAATTAATCTCCCGTCATCCCCCGGAGAAAGTACTGAGAGTGTAAACAAACGGAGGCGACAGAGACTACTACTGCGCATGTGCGCTTTAACCGCAGCAGCCTTGACAGTTTGCGGTTTTCCTTCGCAGACCATCTACATTCTCAGTCCTTTTGGTATCACAAAAATTGGCAGCCCAGTGCATAAGGGTTTTAATGTACTGGTGTTTATTAATTCTTGCATGAATCCTTTGATTTATTGTTTCACTAACAAAGAGTACCGGAAGGAGTTTAAAAAGCTTTTGGGATGCAATAGAGGGAGTGAGATATCTCCAGAGACTGAACTGGGCTCAACTCAGACTCACACTGCAGCTACGCGTTATACGATCAAGGATAAAGAATAAACGCAATAAAACACAACAAAAAAATAAAAAACCGAAAACTATATATACGGCCGTTACTGATAAAGAACCCTGATAGAAAAACATTGGTTAATTTAGCTGATGTAATTTTCATGAATATCAGTCACTTAACTGAGGTCTAAGACTCTTTGCTCCATAACGAGCTATGACCGTCTGAATGTAAGACGTGCTATTTGCATCTTTTTTTCTGAAAAAAAGTCAGTTACGAACTAAGGCCTGTCTTAGTTTTTTTTTTTTTAATTCATGAGTCATGACGTTTCTTTAACAAAAATAGGAAATAGAAAAAATAGGAAAAGCGTGACGTCGTTAAAAAGGTCCATTGTCCGGAGCTAAGAGTTAAGGGTGTTCGTATCTTTTTATAACGGCACCAAACAGAAGGTAAGGCATTCATGTTTATTCACAATTTCGTATTTTAGAGTTAGTTCTGTGATTTTTAGGAAGAGTTAAGCTTATAAACAAAAACATTCTACTTTACAAATTAATGTAATAATTTCCAACAATTGTTCATAATCAATCGTTATTTTGTTTAATTTGTAATTTTTGAAAATCACGAAGAACTGTTTAATTGAAAAGAAAAATAATTTAGGCTGTGGTTGTAAAATATTAAGAAAAAATAAAGATTGAGTGAGTGTCCTGAAAACCCTTGTTACTGATTTTTTTAACCAGCAGTGAATGAAATCCATAAACAAGAATAGTTTTC